GTTTTTATAAATTTTAGGTCAGTTTTGATAAACTTGAGGTGAATATAAGATAATATTTGTTTAAAGACTTTTTACTATTTAATAAATGTTCACATTCCTTTATATGTGATGTTCGAACTCGAGACCTCAAAAAATAAAAATAAGTCTCTTTACTACAAGAGATCACTTAATTTATATGGTTAGATTTAAGTCGTTTTACTTGATGTTTATTTAGTTATATTACAAATTCATTTTTAATATGAATTCTTAATATGGTTCTTTCATATTAATAAATTCTCCTAATTATTCTTAATAGATCGCGCTTCAATTATGATGAAATTAATTGTCAACCTGCCTACATCATTATATTTATTTTTTTATAATAGTATTTATCATTCACTGTTGACATTATTATTTTATATGTTTTATTTGTTTCAAAATGTTTAATTTAATTTATTAACATGTTCTAGAATAAAATTCGGAAATATTGTGAGCGTGAAAAATATAAAAATAAAAAATTATTTCATTTATTATAATACATATGAAACTCGTCATGTTTACAAGATGTACACTGTAAAATATATTAAAAAATAAAATTCTCCATGTGAACTAAACGAAATTTGTATATAAATCATCATATCCACATTACGAGTTCTAATTATTTATTATATTTTATGAAATTCTTTATTTTCACATAATGAATTTCAAACACAATATAGTAAATGACCTATATCCAAATTAATTTTTCAACACTATATTTCCTTAACTTTTTTTCTCGTTTGAATTATTTGGAAACGAAGCTTATATTCTATGTGTGGTTTTAAAGTTACCATTTTGTGTTTTTTTAGTTTTAATATAAAAACAATAGTATAAACTATACTTAAATTTAATTTTTAGTGCTTCAGCTATTTTTGTTAAAAATAATGATATAATATTTTCTTCGATACATTTTTAGATGTATACTTTAAAAAAATCGTTAAGTGACATGTGTCACGTTTATATTATTTTATTTTTAAAATAAAATATTATTTAAAAATATTTTAAGAAAAATCTGAATATGACACGTGTCACTTAATGGTTCTTTTTAACGGTAGACACTTAAAAAATGTAACAGAGAAAATATTAGACATACATTTTTAACAAAAAATTCTTTAGATACCAAAAGTCATTTTTTAGTATAGTTTAAACACTTATTTTTATATTAAACTTTTTTTAAGATATTATTGAGTGTTTAGTTTTTATTATTCAATGTTTAATTTATGATTTTTTAATTTATTTAAAAGTAATTTTTAATAGAATTAAATTATTTCAATTTTATATATATATTTGAATTATATTTAAAATTAAGTGGTATTACTAATTAAAAAAAATAGTAGGATAATTTTAAAAAATCAATGTATAATGAGTTGTATAGATGATGAGAAATGTAGTCCATAAGTTGGCAGTTACGTGGACAGCTTACGGACGAACAACGCAACTGTACAAAAATCGAATGTGCGGAGGCGGAAGTAGTTTACTGAAGGCAAAACCGAAGTCCGCGTGTCATACTCACACCTTCATAATTCGATGTAAACGTATTGTTGTTTTGTTTGTTTTTTCCCCCAAATCATTTCGCCCTTTATTGCATGATTATTACTATTTTTACTGCTACCTTTTCTCCAAATATTCGTCCCGATTCATAAATCTCATAATTTGAATTACTTATAATTGAATTATTCTTTATTTTTTATTTTAATTGTTTATTTAACGATTATGATAGTTTAAAATCAAGTTTTAGAAAGAGTAAATATATTTAATTGATTGATTAAATTATTCATTTTATTCTCTTATATTCTCTTATCTTATAGACTCTAGACTTACTTTTTTTTTTAAGTCTCTATTTTTCTCCCTTTTAAATATAATTAAGATTAGATTAAGAATTTATCATAATAAAAAATCAAATTAAATAAAACATGATTCAATAGATGAACAAATCTATTATTATTTTTTTTGTTTAATTTTTTTTCTTTATTGAAACCTTATTTCTCAATTTCGTCAAGTAAAACCTTAGCCTTAGTAATTTCTTCAGATTCTGTGCCCCTAAAAGCTTTCAGAATTTTGTGTTTCACGATCTTCAAAATCATGTGATTTGAACGTTCCCACCTCTCAAAGTCCCTTTTTGCATCAGGGTTACTCTCCGCAGTGAAAGGTACATGTTTATTATTCCCTTAATGCAAGATCTATGTCCATACAACCAATCACTATAAGTAAGTGCATTTTTCATTACTTGAAATTTGTCCCATTAAGCATGGGAATATAATTGATATGAGAAAAAATTGTGACAACAGAAGAACTAGCTGAACACAATAAATAACAAGCTCATCTAAGCAAACAATAAATCCGAATAATGTCTAATTCCTATCACAATATACCAAACACTACATTAATATCAAGGCTTTGGACAATAATACTAACAGTAAATGATACTCTTGTTGTAGTAATCAAACACTGAAAATAAACTATGTTGAACAAAAGACTAATCTTTTGGACTAATGTAATGCTCCCATAAAAATGACCTTATAATTGTCACATATTCATTACCACATGTGTCACTTGAAATCCGACCAAATATTAATTTTTCTTTGGGTCAATTAATAAACACATGAATTACAATAACACATAATCATTTTGATATTTAAATAATTAATCTATGTAAAAGATGTCACTTTGACAACATTTTGTTTCAACAAATTCACTAAAATAACAGACAAAGCCAAAATACGAATTTATTTATTCTTGAATAATTTACTTAATAACCATTAATCAAAATTAAAATTTTTAATCAAGCCATATTAAATATATATTAATAATTTATATTCCATGAAACCAATCGCATAAAGTCAAGAATTAAACAAATTCAATTTTCATGTGAAAAATCCAATATCGATTACAGAAACAAAACAAAATCATAAACTGAAACAGTTTGAAACAAATGCATGTGAAATCACCAAATTATATTCACGACTTAAATTACCAAACAGAGGCATGTGATAAAAAAGTAATATTCATGTTATAACTTTTTATTATTATAAAAAATAAGATAAAATATTAACCATGCGATATGTTAATCGATTACTAGAGAGAACCAATTGCAGAATGTAGATGTAATCCACATATCATGGTAAACACTTAAAAGAAAAAAATTATTAATAGTGGATTTTTCCACGATTATCAATCACATGATTTTCAAGAAACAAATATATTATCAATAACAACAACAACAAATCTCATAGTTACAATAGAATTATCTTTTCAATCCCTAAATATAAATCCTAAAATTAATTGATTCTTAATGATTTGATATGAGAAGCTCTGATACCACTTGTTATAACTAAAACATAAATCAATATGAAAAACCTAACCAGTATCTAACAATGTCAAACCATTAAAAATAAAATAAATACTAAATTTACAGAACTGCACTTGAATCCATTGTTGGAGATTACGTATAAGGTTGAGATATTGAAGATTGCCCTGTAGTTGTGATCTTTCAAGAAGATAGAATTCCCTTTAGTATTAACTCTCTGACGGGGATAAGAGTAATACGAGATATCTATTTTTTGGGGACCATAACCCCTTTATATTGTTGATTGAATCAGTTATTGTATGTACTTATAACTCTACCCCTCATCAAATTATAAATACAACTTTAATAATATCTACACTTTTATTTCCATTATACTTCTAATACCTTGTGACTTTATAACATAATTGATCACTTAATTAGTCATATTTTATGATAACAATATACATGATAAATAGGTACCCATAATTATGGATTTTAATCCAACACTAACATCTTCTTCAGAATTAAGATATAAGATTTTAAGACTAAAATCACACACACACTCATATATATATTAAAAATATATTATTCAATTATTCAAATTTTTAATTTTTAAGCTCATAAAATGACACTACAAAATTTCTATCAAAATTGGTTTCGGTAAAATTCAACTAATTATCTTGAGTATACTTAAATAACCCAACTATAAATAACCTCAAAATCAAGGGACTATATGACTAATTGACCCTTAGAAAACTCAAGATACTTGGTTTAATTTACCAAAATCATCCTTAAAATTTTAAGGGTTACATTTAGGGATGCGCATGGGGTGGGGCAGTTCGGTTTTTTGGCCACCCAACCTTGACCCGAAAATATATATCTTATATTCGATCTCGTTTCGTCCCGATGAATTCTAGGATTTTTCAACCTCGAATCCACCTCGAATTTTAGATTAAAACTCTAACTTCAATCCAATTCGATCCAAATATAATAATATTTTAAAATAATTAAAATAATATATTTTAATAATATACAAATAAAAATTCATAAAATATTAAATATATATAAATTAATCGAAATAGATAGGATCGACGATTTTTTCACCTTTAACCCGATCATATCCCGTCCCGAAGTTATATACTATATAACCCATCCAAAGTTTCAAGATTTCAAAATGAAAAAAAAAAACTATCACTATAAGATCAGATAGGTCGAGACCTGTCTTATTCATATATTTTGGCCATCCCGATTACATTACTAAGTTAACTTCTTATTAAGCTATCCCAATGCAAGGGGTTGATGTAAACTACACAATAAATTTATGGGTAAACTACTCCAATGGTCACTAATATTTAGGTGAGTTTTTGTTTTCACCACTGATGTTTCAAAAGTTACAAATCGATCACTACTGTTATCGTTTGTTACAAATTGGTCACTCGCCGTTAACAGACGTGACGGAACACAAATAGTCCATGTTATTTATAAATTCTTTCAATTTGATCCTAGTTTTAATAAATTAAAATATATTTATTTTTAATTCTTATAAATAATGATATATTTTTATACAAAATAATTAAATGTTTTTTTAGTTATAAAAACAAAAAAAATAACGTCATGATATTATTATTATTGATATGATGAAAAATTAGTACTAATTACTAAATCATGCTCTATATAGGAAAGCAATTTTAGCTACTGACTCGTATTAGTCCACGCATAATTAATCATCCCTGAAGAAGAAAGTTATCGATTTTTGCAGAAAAATTATGTTCCACAGAAGATGAAAGCAGCTTCAAGTTGGTCAGTACCTAACATCGTTTCTTCCATCTTATTTATCAACACAATTTTGATTCTGTTTTCTTCCCCTCAGTTCTGTTTCGCTAGAGATAATATAACAGTAAAAAGTTGACTCGCAGATGGGGAAACTCTTGTTTCTGCTGGAAATAGATTTGAACTGGGGTTCTTTAGCCCATCAAGCATCTCCAACGTGAAGAGATATGTGAGGATATGGTATATCTCTAATCCAAAAATACTTGTTTGGGTTGCCAATGGAAAAAATCCAGTTCCAGATAGGACTGGGGTTCTATCTGTTGCAGATGGCACACTGAAGTTATCCGATGACAAAGGGAACCTTTATTGGTCTGCACAGCCTGGGGTTAAGCGTTCAACTCCAATGGTGAAGCTTAGTGATACCGGTAACTTGATTCTACTCGATCGGTCGAAACTATATCTTTGGCAAAGCTTTGAGCATCCGACGGATACATTTCTTTATGGTATGAAGATGAATGCCGATATCTTATTAACTTCATGGCACAGTGAAGATGATCCATCACCGGGAAACTTCACGTTCGGACTAGATTCTCAATCGCGTCCTGTTGTCATGGAAGCACATTTACTGGAGATCAAGTAGAGCAGATGAACTGCCTTCTACATTAGTCAACTTCTGGAATTTCAGCATGAGTAAAGGAACGGTGTTGAGTTCTACTGGACATTTACAGTGTTGGGAGTTGAATACTGAAGATACTAAATTTTTTATCCATATTATTATTATTAATATTATTATTATCCTTATTATTATTATTATTATTATTATCATTATTATTATTATTATTAAATATATTAAAAAATAATAATTACAGGCCCAATTACAATTGACCGGCCCAGTTACAAACCAACCAGAACCGGTCCAAATCCAACAGAAACCCTAAATATTTGGGTTCCAGTGAGGGTTTCCTAACCCTAATTTGATCAGCCGCCTCAGCTCACGACCGTTGGATCTGATAAGATCCAACGGTCCAGATGGTGCCAGAAGGAAACCCTAGGGTTTGATACCCTAGGGCCACGCGGCGCCCGCTCCAGCTTCCACGCGGCGACAGCCCTCGCCGCCTCCGCCGCTGCCATCCCAACCGAAGACTCCAGAAGATCATATACCAGCCGTTCATGCAAGGCTACGGGTGAGTCACCACTGGTAGTCCGGTGACTCACCGAGGCCCCCTCTTCGGACCGGTCTGAGACGAACACCGGTGGTGGCTATAAAAGCCCACCATCTGCGAAGAAAAAAAAAGAGAGACACAAACTAGAAACAGAACGGAGAAGAAAAGACAGAAAAGAAAAAAAAAAAAAACTAATACCAACGATCTCAGCAGCAAAAACCAGAAAGAAAAAAAAAGAGAAAAAGGAAGAAGACTTACCGAGGAAGCGTCGACCACCGGATCTCGTCAGAACCTTCGAAACATCGAAGGTATTTTTGTAAGATTTGCTCCGATTAGGAGCCTTTTAAAGAAGAAACACCGGGACCGTCCTTAGGACGGTCCGATCTATCTATTCGTATAAAAATATTTTTTTTCGGCCACGGATGCGGTGGCCGGCGGTGATATTCACGGCGGCTCACGGTGGCCGACTGGTAACCGGCTTCCCTCCGATGAGGGAAGCTAGAGAGAAGGCAGAGAGTTTAAAACTCTCTCAGTGAAGAGAGAGAAGAAAATGGAAATGAAGGTTGGCCCTTCGGGCCACGGTTTTGGACTCTTATAGTCCTTCCCGAACGACGTCGTTTCGGGAAGGACTATGCGTAATTAAATAGTTAAACCCGTCCGCAGTCCCTCGTATTTGTAAATTTTACATTTTGGCCACTAAACTGAATCTATAATAATTTTAATTCAGTCTTTGAATTTTAATTTATTCATTTTAGTCCTTTTTATTAAAAAATATTTAGGATAAATAACAGATTTAATCCCTCAATTTTAATAATAATATTTTAATCCTTAGTTTATATTTTTAATTTATTTTATTATAATCCGAATTTTAGATAATTTTATTTTAGTCACTAAATTAAATAAGAAATAGCATGTTTAATCCCTATAATTTTGGTTAATTATAAATTAGATTTTTAATTTTTTTACTGTATTAGTCAGTATTTTATATGTTTTCATTTATTTTATTGTTTTTTTAAATATTTTAGTAGTATGTTTATTATAAATAAATATTTTTTCATATATAATAAATAGTAATTTTTAAATATTTATTTTAATATCGAAGAAAAGGACAGTCTTAAAACAACTGGATGTTCTATTCTGATGTTTTAAAATTAAAAATTAAACAATATTATTTAAATTTATCATATCAAAGAAAGAGCTGTCTTAAGGCACCTAGAAGTTCTTTTCTGATATCTATAAATAAATAATATTTTTATATAATTTTGAAATAATAAGATTATATTAAATATATTTTGAATTTTAATTTTAATAATAAGAGCAATTTATAATTAAAAAGTACCAATTTTGGGCGTTGTAGGGGTGCTAATCCTTCCCTAAAACGTAACCGACCACGAATCCCTTTTTATTATTAAGAACGAGTTTTGGTTATAAAACGCAGATCAGTTCATTTTTTAATTGATGTTTTTTTTATAAAACTCTTTTAAAAGAAAATTTTTAGGTATTCGACCTACCTGATCCAAAGGCCGATGGCGACTCCCAAATTATTTTCAAAACCATTTATTCACATCAATTTCTCGCCAAATAAATATTTCGTGCCCGGACGAAAACCGGTTACGACAGCTTGGCGACTCCGCTGGGGACTAGTCATGCTTTGAAATTAATTATAAATTGTCTCTATTTAGAAAAATCATTTATTTAATTTTTAATTATTTCTTTCAAATTTTTTATTACTTATATTTTATATATTTATTAATATTTTTTTCAGGTATTAATTATTTATTTATCTGTTAGAGGGAACATTTCTCTCACACACAACACTTGCATTGCATAACATAAAAGCTCTATATTGAGTTTGTCCCTTTTAAGTGGAGTGAAAGCGACGTCTTCGTGAGAATTTATTCTCCGTGTCAGACCTAGCAAGTAACTTTCGGGGTTCATATGCTCTATGTCTTCGTGAGAATTATTCTCCGTGTCAGGTATAGAGAAATGTATCGCCTCGAATTGAACTCGATCCGCTAAATCTGTAATGGACTAGGATTGAGGGTTGACAGCCCAGAGGGCATCAACAAGGACAGTTCGAGTACCTTTACTCCTAGAACTAAAAACCTGCATATAATAAACCCTAGAAACTCTCCTGATCTGAAACCATTGTAAGTAAGTATACACAAAGGAGAAATAAGTTTTAGCTTTTAATTTATTTTATTTCCTTTTCTTTTTCCTGAATAAATGCATGTGAACTAGAAATCGTGCAGTTAAGTTAAATTTTCCAAACAAAGCATGGAACTAGAAAGCATGAGGTTAAGATTTATACATGATATAGTTTTTTTTAGTTGGTACTAACTATTCTATTTTTTTTTTATTTTTTTTCATGTATATATACATTGCTCTAATCCGTTCATATGATTTCTTTTGTTTGCATTACATGATCATGGCATAACCAAAAGGTTTGACTTAAAGACTGTTCATCATATTGGAAAAAATCGTAAATGGACAAAAAGTTTTATGATCAAACAAAATATGATGCGGCCAAAGAAAGACATCCTGAAGAAACTACGAGGATCGAGGGAAGTTCTGTACATAGAGAACCGGTTATATTAATACCAAAAGTAATCCATAAAGATTCTGCTAGATTGATACCAAAAGCAGTCTATGGTAAGAGTATCAGTCGGGATATTCAGAGTAGTGGAGATTTTTATGAAGCTCAAGCATGTTATTTGAAGGACTTGAACGACCAAAAACAAGAAATTGAGCACAGAAATGAAAACCATGCATGAAGATTTTCAGAAGATCAGTCAAGCCTTTCAAAATGCTGGCCTAGGAAGTACCCCAGAAGAATGGATACAGGGGTCACCAAGCTGAAAAAGAGCTGCAACATATATGAAGATTTTGTTCAAGAACTTCTTGGACAGAAAATTTCTCTTACAAGGGAAAATGAGCAACTCCGAGAAGTGACACAGAAAATGAAAGAGAATGTCATGGAAGAGGTTGTAGTCCAGACAAGCAATGTCCCTTAAGTTGATAGACTAATTTGGCTTTGGAGAAGTTAGGAAGAAATATATCCCTATATGTAAAGTTTTGTTTGATGTACCGAAACTTTTGCGTTCATGAAATCTGTTCTAAGATGATCACTCTTGAGTAACACCTTTTCATACATGCATTTGTATTTTGCATTTGTACATTTTTACGTTTGTATTTACATTTACATTTTTAAATTTACATCATGCATTAAATATATTAATTAAATAATAATGTTTATTTTTTTCAATATCAAAGAAAAGGGCAGTCTTAAATAACTGGATGTCCTATTCTGGTATTTTAAAAAAATTACATTTACAATTTTACATTTGCATATTTACATTTGGCATCTTTGCATTTGTATTGCACAATTTGTATTCTTGTTATTACACTCACATATTTACATTTGCATTTGGCATCTTTGCATTTTTTTAATACATTAAAACATTCATTCATTAAAATAAGGATTTCAAACGAAGTGATCTTGGTTTTTCCTTGAAGCAAGAACGCTCAGCACGACACAAGAAAAATGTCTAAAGAAACTGAAGATAGGCTAGCCAAATTGAGATAAAGCAGAAAGAAATACAAGAGGAATTGAGGAGCAAGTTGGCACAAATCGAAGCTAATTCTCAGATCGATCTACTGAACAATAAAAGAAATTGATAAATATTTGACTGCTAAAAGTCTTGTTGAAAACTCCACAAATCCTCTGGGTATTACACCTGTTCATATTCCTGAGTTCACCTCTGTACCCCAGGAAATTCAATCACCGATTTACTTTGCTGTTAAGAACTCACCATATCAAGCTAGAGCATCATTCCCCACTGATTGTCCTACTACTTCTGAGTTGAAGCCTGATGAATTTTGTAATAAGGTCCTTGACCTAAACAAATCGTTGAGAAGGAAAAATTCACTCAACGACTGGAAAATATAGAATAGGTGATAAATCTATAGAGACAGTTGAGTCATTTTATGGGTTGATGCCAAAGAACTAAGTTTGGTCCCTGGCCTGGTTATTCCACCAAAGTTCAAGGTTCCAGATTTTGAGAAGTATAATGGGACCACATGCCATTCATATCATATCACTATGTATTGTCGTCGATGACTGGCTATATAGAGAATAAAAAGTTGTTGATCCACTGTTTCCAAGACAGTTTATCTGGGTCTGCATCCAGATGGTATAATCCA